AACTGGGGTGGGCAAGGTGCAATTGGCTCTGTTCTAGGCAGGACTCTTGGAACCATTGACGCTACGAACCTAGAAAGCCTGCCGGCTGCTTCGACACATGCAACATCAGAATCGGTGATGGGGACCTCTGGGGTCGCCTCTGTGACTTCTTCGCTGGCCCAGACCACTGTCCCATCTTCCGGTAACTCTACAAGTTCTAGCAGTAACCCGCAGCCGGCCACCTCCAGCCTAGCCTCTACCGCAGAGCCAGATTCTGCCACGCCTACCATCACCAGTTTAGCAAGTGAGTCAACCTCCGCGGACAGTACTGACAGCTGTGGAATTCAAAAACGCATGAGGATATGGAGAGATGACCAGTAGCCGAACAGAAGCGAGTGAGCTTGATGGGTCTTGAGGCTGAACAACAAGTCCCCTCGCAATCATCAAATCCAAAGCGTACATGATAGGTGACAGAGCGCAAGGTTTCAAGAGCCTATCAACCACATAGTGTTTTTTTCTGAATTTTGGGTTTAGTTGCAAATTGAAACATGATGTTTGATTTGCCAATGCGAGACTCGCATTATTGTTGACTCATCAATGCTTTTGCTATATTACCCCGCGCAATGTTTGAGGTAGCCATCCCAGTAAATCGGACGATTAGTTATTTCTGGTTCAAACAGCCATAAGCATTGTCTGGGTCGGTATTCGGCCATATGGATACGTCCAATTTCATATTCAGCTAGAGTGTTTAACGTGGCAGTCTATTCATAAATCGCTGGAATTCACTATCCACGCAGAGGAATAAAATCGTATTATATATATCCGAGGATCACATCGCTCCCTTCTTTTTGATCATCTTCTATAAAAAGGCTTCTCCGTCGACTTCACTTCTCAATCAGGAGGACTGGGTAAACTGCCAGTAGAGGATTTTCTATCAGGCCTTTTATACGTGTGTAATCTACTGCACGGGAATAACAGATCCTCCCTGATAAGTCCCACAACTCTCTCCAAGCGGTATCGTTTCATCCATGATATCCTACATAAGTAGCAGTTTCTTTCCGGAACACATTACGGCTAGACAGAATTGAGACACTGACTATGATGAGATTGTACTGTACCAGTGGTGCTATGATGGGAGGCACACGGTATATCAACTTTGGTTCATTCATATATCATCTAAGTTTGAATTTTGCCGTTTATCAGTCGCCATAAGAAGTGTTCAATCGACAGAATTTGGCTCTCGATGAGATAAGCAGTTCCAATGCTGCCGATCACATCCGCGAGACCCTCACTCATATGGAATCTTTTTGGAGCGAGTCTTGACTTGCCCATTAGAAAATGACAATATACTGCATCTTCCCCCTCGCGTTGATAAAGTGAGGCAGCAGTGAAGGAAGAAGACGATAGATCTTGGAGCACCATCATGTTGTCACAGTAAAGAAATGGCGCGCAGTATGTTCTGGCAGGCGATGCTTTGCTGAAGGAGGTCCTTATACACGTTTTTCTTGTGCTTCAATTTATCGTTTGATGGCAGTGGGGTGGGCATGGTGGAAATAACCCGCGTTTTTGTTTTCTCATAGTGAACTTGCATATCACTGGGACCTTTCCGGTCCTCGTCCTTGATGGCTCCATATTGAGGTACGAATTGCTCGTCTGATGATGAAAACATTCGGATCTTGTGGGTCGCACGGTCTCGAACAAAAAGAAATGCATCTTGATCGCATAGAACCCCTATCTCGTGGGCTTTTTTCATCAGTCCATCCAGTCGCTTTTTGAATGTGATCCGTCTGTCTCTGGGATTTAGGATTTTGATGATCTTGCGAGCTACCTTCCCCATTTTTGATTATATCTACCTCCCAGTACCGTGGAGAGTGGGCTGTATATGTCACTGCGTTGCAGGCTTCGATTGATATGAGTGTCCAAATTGTAAAGAATCTATTTTGGGATCACAGGCTCCATCTGGTCTATGGATAGCAATACCAAAGATGTCATTTGTTACTATTTCAGAAAATTCGTTTCCCGTCACTGGAACGTAAACTGCAAATATTCCGTGGAAGTCGTCGTCCGATAAATTGGGTGGCTACCACACGCAAAGATAATACCGCTCACATGACTTTAGATAGGCCGACGGAGTGGTAGTTGGTCGCATACAACAAGTGCTACAGAAAAAACCATCCTTCGATTTGTTTCGAAAACCTCAGTTGAACCGCCATTTGTCACTCTTGGTAGGTCAGAAACCGCATTCTTCCGACAATAACGATGGCCATAATCACTTGTAGCTATAGCTGAGCTTTACTGCAACATACATGAAATCGTAGTTCACCTCACAACATTCACTTTCTGCGCCCAGCAATGAGTTCCCGTAAATACAGATGACATCTATCGAGCTTTCTACATATCCATAGCCAATCATGAGTCTATTTTTAGAGTGACATAATGATATGTATGGTATCTTTGGTCTTGACATCTAGCTGATTTCGAATACATAGTGGCAGAATCCTGCACTTTCTTTGACCGGTATTCCATTTCAGGCTTTCTTAGTTCGATAATCCTAGAAATCGCCCAATGAATCAAATAGTGCGACTTCAGAAATTCCCCCCATTTCTACAAGCATCTCGGAGAAAAGAAGCCCGAACTGATAAAAATTGTACGAAATTGTATCATGCGTATCAATTTTGAGGTAGGGTAGGTGATAGAATACTGATCTACAGGGACAAAGATGTGAATGAAGATCGTATTCATCAACAAGGACGGGGGAAGGCAGGAGAGAGAGAGGAGAGACAATCGTCGATCTACTCTATCTAGCAAACACGCCCTGTCATCCCATACAGGTCGCTGGACAAGCAGATCCCGACAGTAGGTTATCGATGCTGGTCCTTAAACCCCGTGGGCCAAAGCCGTAATCTCGTCTTGAATTAAAGTTTCCGGATGAGCGTTTATTGCCTGAAATAGATTCCCGGGAGCCCACGCGGTCTCTGTTTGGTCTCGGTTTCTCTGCAAGGAAGATAATCAAGCTTTTGTATGACATTCTCTAGAGTAAAATGTCAACCCAAGGGTTTGTCTCTATTTTTAACTGTAGTCAATTTTGAAGTACATTTCCAGGGTGGTTTCAAAACCACTATGGTCCAAAAACCGCCAAATCGAGTGGTTCTGGAACCTCGGTGGTTTTAAATCTACCTATAAGCGGGAATGAAAACCAAGGTAGTCCCAGAACCACGGTGGTTCCCGAACTGCTCAGTTTGACGGTTCTAAGACCACAGTGGTTTTGAAACTATTATTTAAGTACCTCATCGCCCTGACCGACCCGATTAGGACATTATGACACGCTGGCGAATATATTTCAAAGGCAGCCTTGTACGTGATTGGTCAGCACCGAAATGCCAGCAGAATTCCCAGAGGAATATCCAGCCCTGCCCATACGAACTTGGCGTGCAACATGCGTTGCCGTTTGCCCAAGGTCCCGCTAAACCTACGATGAACGCCTCCACCGCGAGATCAAGCTCAACAAACTAGTTTTATCGATTTTCTTTCCTATGCACTCGTGGATAGTGAGCTTGCCCTTGATACCTCGGCACCTCCTTCTGTCATCGTTGGAAGTGGCGAGGGGCGAGGGTAGAGAAGAGAGGCGTTGAGGACGTCTCGGCTGGTGGCGGGTGAAGTGGGTGATGTAATCCCCGGCCAGAATGGTGCTCTCGTTCCTACTATGGTCAAAATACGTCGCATAACCTGGGAAAGCATAGAGGCTTACTTGGTAATTTGGAACGCTGAACACCGGGAGCGAGAGTCGGTAGGTTGGAGGGGTTGGGTGTCAGGCCTCTTGTTCTTGGTTGGCTGACAGGGCGGTATGAAGCATGGGGTTCTCCACGCAAACGATAGTGACAATTTTGCAAGGCTATGATGCTTTTTTGCAAGACCTCCGAATTGTTCTCCCACCGCATTTTGTCTGCCGTCAGCTGCTGCACACGCTCCTCGAAGAGTTTGATGGTCTCTTGCTGTCTCTCAATCTCTCGTTCTTGAGCTTCATGCCTGATCCGATACTCCTCGAGTTCTCTGTCCTGTTGAAAGACTCTGGCCTCGTTGTTCCGTTTTCGCTCATTTTGATTTTTTCGGAACCTTTTTTGTGCTAATCTTTGCGCATTCCTTTTGGATTCTGGGGACGTTTTTCCGTTGACCATTGTGCTCTGGACATTTTTATTCCTCGTGTTGGGAGATAAGGAGAGGTCTTGATCATCTGCGCCCTCGGGCAGGACATAATCAATCGATTTGGACATTTAACGCTCAGGGGTGAAAGAAAAAAGATCGGGTCGTAGAAGTTCCACGAAAGACTATTGCAATTGTCTCCAATGCCTTTAATAATATTGTTAAATAGGGCTTATGTAAGCCACGCTATACCCCGCCGGGGCCCCGGGGCCCCGGGGCGTGAACCACTGATCACGCGAAGGTCGCGTAATGCGATTCTGTCTGCTTCATCTCACCGTCGTTACAGCAAAATGGCAAAGCCTGGAGCCTATTCTGACGAAGTGTCATATAGAGCTTCACCTCTCATGGCCCAACGTGACCTGGGTACATCACACATCTTTCATATGCCCTATTACACATTGAGGACCAGTCTCTGCTATGACGACGGTGTGCTCAAGGCCTTCTGCATAGACTCATACAACAAAAACCGAGGCTTACCTGTCCCCAGCGGGTGGACTACAGTCTTGAACCATTCGTCGGAGTTGGAGCAGCATATAAGTAGAGATTTTCAAAACTATCCTATTGCCCTATAGCCAAACGATCGTTCAATCGGATTGAGTTCCCAACGCGCACAGGATATATCTCGGAGATCACTACGTCGAGGTTACTCTCTTTCTCCACTGCAGTGCTGTCGGAACTGGCAGCTATAAGGATATCTTCACTGATACAGATCACTCGCCATCTTTGCCTTTAATATAACACTTACGCTGCACCAGGAATTGTCCATTCTACGTACGCAGAATCCCCCACTCATGTCGGCTGAAATATGCTGGGCGTTTGTCTCATCGCGTCAATGGCTTCGCGCACAATGTCAAGATCCAGCTCGCTTCCAGAGAGCAGGCGCGAACGGCGTGGTCATCCGTTGGTATGAAGTATGCGTCTCGGCAGGTGGTATCACCTGCAATGCAGGTTAGTGTATCACAACTTGAATTGCTAGGTCTGAGAGATAGTGTAGTATTATGTCCCGGAAACTTAGCGTCGTTGTTGATCAGTGACATGTCCACATAGCACCGGTCCGTGCAGGTATACTCCAGCTGTACTTGATTTTTACCGTTTTGTAGGTCGTCAGTGCTATTTGCCAATTTCATGGAAGTCCCGCCCTGTGTGGAAAACTGGTACCTCTCCTGATACAACTCTCCAGGATCCAGGATCCTGACCGGGAAGTCCCACTCTCTTGTGACCATCAAGTAGACCGCAGTCTCGCAATTATTCAAAATACCCATATTTCCAATAGAGGAGAGTGGATGTGCGAAGGTGCCTTGGAATGAAACAAGTGATGCTATGCATAACACGGCGTGAGAATTTCTCATCTTGATCTATGAACAAGCGAGCTTTGGTCTGAAGGTTAAAGGGAGAAGAACAGGTATTTACATAGGCCATAGCGAGGAAGAATATCAATTCAGTTCTGGGGACTGGCTGTACCCAAAACTCTCACTGCCCAGCGAACATACCCGATACAAAAGGGTATATGCGCTAGTGCTGGGCCATTTTTAAGCCTCAAGAACGAGTGGATTCTTCAATCACAAATTCCTCGAGTGATAGTAGTGACTGCACCTTCTTCCCGCTACCTTCAGAGGCTCCCATTTTCCGTCGTGCTACTTCACGGAGGAACAAATGCGCAGGCTCATCAAGGTCACTTGTGATTTGCTGTGATAGTTCCCGCTGTACTCTGCCTTTCTGTTCAAAAATAAACCAGAAGGGAGTATTGAGATAGAAATCAGACTCTGTCTCACTCGAGCGTAATCTGGAGGGGTGCAATCACCAGTTTCCCGTATGGTGGCCCGTTTTGGACCATTCCCGGTGTGGCATAGTCCACTCCAGCCCCATGGCTTTTGCGACTCAATTTGGGAACCAATGCTCTTGATAATTTTGACTCCCTATCTCTGACTGTTGATGTCTCTTCTGTTGACGCTGACATATTCATATGCTGCCGCACTTGCACTGGGTGAAGAGCTGCGCCTTCTTTTCTTCCCCCACACGAGATGTCTACTTCGGGCAGCTTGCGGCGATTCTTGCTTGCGCCCTATCAACCCATGTTCCACTCGAGAGACCCGACTATTGATTATAAACCTATCTACAATAGCGGTCTGGATTTGATGACCACAGTAAGTTCGCCCAAGGGAAATCGTCGCTCCGCGACTGTAGGCCTGTATGGAATCCGAAGGTATCGTGCGCAAGTTATGGGGGAGTCACACCATCCAATTGAGAAGTTGATGAAGAGACTCCAAGAGAAAAAGGTGATTCAGCGTGAGATGCAGCATGTCCTTATTCCATTTCAAGCCTTTTATCATGCGGATGACGGATATTTCTATACCGCGTCTGACCACGTACTCCTGTCTCTGGCGCACCTACGCACCGGGACTAAGGAATACCCAGCAATGATTGAGCCCGATATTATCTGGTCCATCGTCCAGCAGGTATCCTTCAAGAATCCCTTTTTGGGTATGACTGACTTGGGACAGGTCCTGGCCGGACTAGATTGCTTGACAACACAAGGGCTAGAGCACTCCAACCTCGAGCCGAAGAACATCCTGATCACTCATGATGGTGTTGTCAAAATTGGTAGGCTGCCCCGTCCGTAGGCGGCTCGTCCCATGCTTATGCTAAAATAGGGGCAATCCATCATATCCAAGATGCGACCTCCACTGGCTGGGTCAAGATGACAGCCGCGGTGGAAGGGCTTGCTCAGACCTTGATCAAAAGGTCGAAACGGTATTGTCTCCGCTGCATCAATAAGTCCAAGGCCGGCGGCTTGGAATGCTGTGATCATTCGCAAATGTCCACGCGTCTTGACTCTCTGCGGGGGAAATTAAATCTGGGGGGGAAGTTAAATACCATCCAGTGCCCCACCACGGAGTCCACTGCTTTTAATAATCGACGAGTCAAGGGAGAAGCTATTCGGGGGGCCCTGAATGCATGTGCGACATATTTTACTGACCAGACAAACGGCGCTTGTCTAGCTGGTAGTCTAGCTGGTACCGGTGAATATGCATCCAAGAAGGGCTTTGGTTGGTTGGAGCCTGTGTCCAAAGTGACCGGCCCTGGCAGACGTAAGACCTCCTCTCTGCGAGAGCCCAATCAGCGCAGGCGAAGGCAAGCACCCAGACGCGCTCGCGAAAGAAGATTATATGGTGGGTTGGAAGGGAGGTTGCTCAACAGACATGCGAAGCAAACGGATCTTCGGGACAGGGAGAAAAGGGGCCGTGAAGCCCCGCCGGCATGATGATGATCTAACTTTGGCTATCATGAGAGGAATGGATAGAGGTGATTCGAAAATTCCACGCAAACCGTGTAATTCGTCATGTATACTGGGCTAGTATCCGGCAAGTGCGGCCATTTCGGACACCATCGTGCACAATTGGAGTTTCAAGCCTACATTTCAAGTCATCTACATTTCAAGTCATCTTTACTTGGTATTGTAAACCAGCAGATTGTACTGTGATGTAAGATCTCTAAAATCGCCTCACAGTTGTGGGATTTAGCGCTGGATCATGGTCATGGTCGTCGCATCCCTCTCCGTGTAGCTACCAGTCGCTCATCACATTGGCTATGTTTGTTTTGCCATGCCTCTCTGGTGTGCCCTATAAATAGATCGAAACTGGCTAATTTTGGGACTATCATTCACAGTGTTTCCGAGATTCGGTGCGGCTGTCTCAATTCGTTATATTTATTAAGCCAGTGGAGCGACCCTAATCGATCCGCATTTATTTTCGCATCCTTCTACTCATGTTCGAAATGAGTGGATCCTCGAATCAGAACCCTGCGAGTTTTCGAAAGCCTCCTTCATTCTCATACCCTTTCCAAAGACCGCAAAGACCGAACAGTTTTCAATGTCATAACTCTCCACCGTTGCGATCAGGCACAATCGTTCCGACCTCTCAGCCACCAAAGGATACTCCAGCCTGCCACGCCCGGTTAGATCAAATCGAATCGGTCCTCGGTATTATCTATGGCGATCCTGGTAACAATGTGGATAAGATACAGAGTGCCGTCCAGGAAGTACGTAAAATGCTTTCGCAGATGTGAGTATACATCACTGTCTTGATCAAACCCTGTAGGCTTACCTTTTTGACAGTTGCGAGCAACTTAATACGCTCGCGGAGAAGAAAGACACCTGCGGAGAACAAACGGAGCTGTCCAAGTCAAGCCCCTCCGCAAATTTTGATTCTCTTGAGTTTGATCCGTTCGCGTTGCCAGAGTTGCCAGATTTTCCACCCCTGGACTAGATGATTAGCTATGTGTGATAAGCTGTGTGGATTGTCTTCTATGGCATAGCCACATGTCTGAAGAGTTAATTCCAGGGATGACAATAATCGACTACTTGCAACAGCGAGTATGTGCTCGGAATGGATTTTGTGGCGCGATTGAGCTGGTTCTTTCTGAATCTTCAAAATGAAAATTGTTCAGGAGTTCCCACTCAGTACTGCTGTCGGATCAACGCTTCGCTTTCGGAATGTAGGCAACCCTACACTTGTACCAGGGCAGAACTATATATCCAAACTTTAGAAGCCGTGCTAGTTGTATTCCTTATCGATGTATCTATCTTCATTACATGACAGACAAGGCCAAATCAACTTAACTACATCGCTTTAAAGTGACAGCAAGCCAAATATAGTGCCTTCATAATTTCTTTCGCAACACTTCATCTGTACCTGAGTATTGTGAACGACATGCAAAGTACAGCGGAGGGCAACTCGGCCCACTGAGCTGCCCAGGAAGGGTGGCGGCGGAGGCCATGGTCGGAGCCTCATGGTCCAGTGTACTTGGCTGTTGGATACAATCTGCTATCAGGCCAAGACTAGAGCTGCATCCTACTGGAGCAAAAGTTGAGGGTTGATGTACTGGACGCACATTGTCTGATCACATGACCTAGACCAGTGCCCCTCTGGACAATTTTCCTGGAAGTCGGCTCCTGCTAGGATGTGATATTCGTCCTGATCAGAGATATCGCCAACGAGGTAGCTAGTAATGCAGGCGTCCGACGGCACTGAAGGACTGTCTAGGACTCCGCTTTCAAAAGCGGTAGGCCACAGCGGGCCGCTAGGATGAACAGCATGTGGTCCTGGCCGTTCAAAAGTCCATCGAGTCGAGCTTTCACCATCGTAGCTGATAGCAAATGCGCCATTCGCCTCGGGATCCGGGGTGGTGGTGGATGGTAGCTCTAGCTTCATACGCGAGTCAAACTCTTTGGTTGCGGACTGGTTGGGCTCAGAGTACAGCTTGGAGTGGTTGAGACGCTCGATGTCTGCCAGCTTTTTGAATTTGGACCGAACGGCCGTCTCTTCACTGTGCCATTTTAGGCCAATGACTTTGGAGACGGTTTGTGCGTCGCTGCAATGACTTCTTCGTCGTAGGTACTCTTCGAAAATCGCATAATAGGCAACTCGGTAAAGTAAGAACGCGTTCATCGGACGCTTAATCTTTCCTTTTCTCTCGGCTTCCTCCATTCGTTGAGCAAACGAACGATGTACAAAACAGTGCACATCTTTCACCGGTACGTCCACCTCGTCACTGAGAAGGTCGCTTAGTGGTCGATCACAAATCTCCTGGACAATGGAGATCGGCAAATCATTGGGTGACTCAACCGCCCGCCCTTTCTTCTGGCGCGCCATCAAAAGTTTTTCCTTGTTTTTTGGGTCAATGAACGGAGCGCAAGATGGAGCTTGGACAGTGTAATCTACCAATTGAGATTGTCGCAAGAGACAGGTTAATGCTTTGTGTCAGGGGGAGACTACTGGAATCAGCCCGTGCGGCTATTGTCAGGGACTCGGTCTGGAGATTTCGAACGGTGAGAAAGAACAGATATGGTTCGATTTATCATTTTTGAAAAGCCTCCAGGGGGGCTGTCTTTGGGAGCTTAGTCAACCAGCGATCGAGCCCTGGAGGTCAATCTTGTGACTATCGTCATTTTGACAACAGGTGGGGTGGTACTTTCATAGATTCCTGATACAATCATACTCACAGATTTAGGCCATATAACTGACTTTGGGGAAATTAACGTAATTGTTACAACGCTTCACGAGAGCATTGCGTTGAGCTACACAATGTGTCCCGGTCTTACACAAAGTCTGCCTACATGTCGATCAAGTTCCACGCGTCACCCTTCAATACGCATCTCATCCCTACAATGCCAACACATCGACATACAGGTCTGATCGGATGTGCCGTGCGATCGATATTGGTGGTCGTAGTATGGTGAAAAATGCAGTACATGTCCGCGTGAATGTACCACCGTGGATCATGAGGTCTTTACGAGATTCGTTGTAGGCGGACTGTAGGTACGCCATTTGCCTCCAGCACACGAGACTGG